TTGAGAGTTTCTTTGTGCAAGACTACAATCAACCTCAGTGTTCCAGGCCGACATTCAACTCGTTGCTTTTTCGCTTGGAAAAATCGCAAAATTGCGTGGCAGAACATGCTTCTACATAACTGCTGTCACCGTTCAAGTGTTTTTGCTCAACTTGGTCTTTGTTTGTGAAGACGAAGGGCTACACCAAGGCATTCCGTCAAATTCCGTGTCTTCCAAAACCAAAGCTTTTCAAGGACGGCCGACGTTCCAGACAGACAATAGCATAGCACAACTCTGAGAGTGGGAGAAGAACGTTTTCTGTTTGGATGTCTGCAAGAGAGAAATGAAACTTTGTGGCGTGCGCAAAAGCGGAGTCAATCAAAATCCAGCATGTAAGTTGCTGTAGGTCAGTTTGTTTGAAGCACTTGTTGCAAGGTTGTCAATTCAAAAACAGAGCAATGTAAGGCGATTTTTTTGTACTGTATCGGAATATTTTTGTTTTCTCCACATCCGTGCTTTCATTTTTCTGCGAAGAGTTGCAATGTTTGTTGCCAAAGAAGTTGATTTCAGCTGAACAAAGCTTTGTGGAAGTTTGCCAGCTGTTTTCGACTGGAACATGAAAGCATTTTATTTTTCCCATGACTTGCAACGTTACAGTTTACACCTTAAACTTAATGTCTAGGTCTGGTGTTCAGGTTTTTCTCGTAGATGGGAAAACAGCTTTCAGATGTCAAGATGCTTTGTTTTTTACGTGCAGTGGAAATCCCAGTGCAAAGGGCCTGACACGTTCGGAGCACATGTGTCACAAAAACACCCAATGGCTTTTGTTGTTTGTGTTGAAAGATGATTGAAAATAGCGGCCTGCACTGCATGAAGTTCAGAAAGTGTTTGGTCAGCGACGTCAGAGTTTTGGTTGATGAGTGTGCCACGCAAGAAACCGGGTGTTGGACTGGAAGTGGGACATGCGCTTGGCTGTGTGGAAGGAAATGGGGCTTGGAATTGCACGTGGCCAACTGGATGCAGCCGTTGTTGAGCGTTGGATATCGGAACCACAAGCACCTAACGATTCGCCTTCACGCAGGTCAATGTTCAAGTAGTGCAACCACAGCTGAAGATCGTGATCGCAAGAGCAACTTGCAATTCGTTCGTGGCGTTTGGTTGTTGGTGTGCAAGCAACAGGTGGTAGCTTCTCAATGCCGCTTCTTTGCACCTTCCTCCCCCATGGATGTTGACAATGTATCACTGGACAGAGTTGAGTGCATGCGGTGTTTGAGCAGCAGTGGCGTTGAAACCGTTCGTCTCAGGAGCAATTTCTGGCTGGTTGCAACGCAACATGGAGCCTTCGTGATCGGACTTTAGTTGTCCGCAAATTGGGACGCATTGGAGTCCAAGACGTTTCCGAGTTGGTGCGTGGGAAGCTTACGACTTGTTGCTGTGCCATTGCTATCTCCCTTTCAGTTCGTTTCCCCCCATCAAAAAGCAGTGCTTGCCATCCGGTGTGATTGACATGTCAAGGTTTAGCACGAAGCGGGACTTTGAACGACATGCTTGCTGCCGCGGGGGAACGGCGATTCAATGCAGAGACGCTGGCCAGCATCCGCATGGCAGGTACCCTGCAGAATGATTGGTGCAGCAGTGCCTGTGGTTTGGCTTCTCGTTGATAATGCATATCTTCATCGGAGCATCTACATGTACATGTGCTGGGATGACAGGTTCGTTGGAACCATGTGGGGAGGAAGACATCCTGGACGAATTTGCCCAGCTTCTCAGCGACTTTGTCACCAGGACCAATTGAGCTTAGCCGAGACAGGGCAGTGTTTGAAGTTGGGGCAGGGATGTCAAACAAACATCTGTTTGTGACCATGGTGCATGCCCGATGCGTGAAGCGAAGCAAGGAAGGATTCATTGCCGCGATTAAACTATTTGTTGTACGTTGAGATTAAAATAATTTATAATTTTATAAGACTTGTTTTGTCTCTGAGTGGTTTGTCTCGTGCCCCAGCAGAATCAATGAATAGGAAGGTTTCCCCACCATGCACTTGCTTGGCCCTTGACTTGATTTGCTGGGCTTGCTGACGACAGTGTGTGCTGGCGTGGACGTTGTCGCAGCCTCTAGGCAAGCCGTCAGACTGTGGCCCGCAAAGGTGGCTAGCCTTTCACCACAAGTCGCTTTTGGGCAGCCTTTGTTGCGATGGTCAGACGCTTGATGCTGAACTTTGAGCAACACGCTGCTTTGGCCATTGCGCTTTTCCCGGCCACAACCCATCTCACCCAACTTGCACTCGCCGAACCTGCGCTAAATGGAAAGCCGTAATCTGCTCGGAGCATTTCGGAGTGCTTGCCACACTTGATGAAGTGTCGAAGTTTGCTTCTCCAGCGTTGCGGCCGAACACGAGCCCCAGCCGCGGCAACAAATGTCCAAGGTCTGAACTCAATGCACATGGCAGTGTTTTATACTGTAATCGGTGATGTTCAGATCCATTCTTTTGCGCGTGCCTTCCACCCAGCCGCGTGAATGAGCTGTGTCATCAAACATCAATAAGCAGTCAAGCAGTTGGTGCCATTAGCAGGATTCTTTTAGTTTTTCACGAATTTGGCCTGGAACAGTGCGACGGGTTTTGCCGCATTCATGCACCCATGTGCCCACGCTTTGAAAACAATACTACGTCTCCTCTTCCCTGATGTGTCTGTCGGAGACCGAGTCCGCTTTAAAGGTTTTCGGCACGAGCTTGTATCCACGGCTGTCGTCTACCCAAACGATTTGCAGACAGAATGTGGGTGCTCTTTGGGTGTCTGGCCCGAAAACTGCTACGGAGGTGCCGCCGCAATGCGAAGAACGAAAATCGCTTGTGCTACCCGACACCATCTTTGTTGATGTTTTGCGTTTCGGGATGCTGGTGCAAGGCGCACACGCTCCTGCATGTCGTCGGGGGCGTTCGTGTTGCGACAGCGGGTTGGCCACGTCCTCACCCTGACATTCGGTTTTCGAGCCGCCACGGAAGTTGACTTTCGGACGAACGTTCGGCGTGTGTCCCAGGCACCATTTCATGGGGTTTTCCAGCCCGCAGCAAGTGGAAGTGTGCGAAAGTCCAAGCTGAAGGCCTTACAGCCTTACAGTTGCTCACGTTTGGAATTTCCGCTGCATCGTGCCACCTCACCTTCCCCTTACACCGACAAGATGCTGTACTTTTTCTACCGCAAGGGCGTCGACCGCAAAACTTGGAATCGTTTTGTTTTCGTTGAAGAGTCGTGGTTGTTGCTGTCGTCCTTTGCTTTGCCAAAGCTCAGAACACGGAAGCCGGTGTCGCACGGACGAGGCGGTGGTGGGCTGCGTTGGCCACGGCGGTGCAGCAATTGACGGCCCTCGCCGGAGCAATGGGGCCAAGCTTGCCACTGTGCCTGGAGGCTATAGAAATCAGGCTTTTGCAACCTAGTGCTGCAGGCTCAAAGTTCCACATGGGCTGATGTACTCACAGTCGTGCCTTTGCTGTGCTAGTGGGTGCTCGGATGTTTGCAGAATGGTCCGGCAACTTTACGACCCGTCGGCTTCACACATGCGTAGCAGCGCCTCGCATCGCGCACAGTTGATGACGTTTGTAACCGTGCCATCCGCCACGAGCCAGGTGCTCCCGGCGTGGCCATGCTGGACTCACAGTCAGGGCCCCGCGCCGCGAGCATCCACCCTGCAGTCGCCCTTGTTCCGAGCACTTGTGCTCGGTGGGGCCTACCCGAACTCGCGCGAGGAAATCGGTGCCGCTTGGTCCTCGGCTTTGAGGTTGGGGGCCGATGTGGGGCGATGGTCTCCAAGGGCCGCTGAGTTCGTCAGACTGCTCGCCCGAAGTCGTGCTCGTGCAACCGCCACTGACACATTTTTTCATCATTCAACACGCAGCGTCCAGTCTAGGGGACGCTTTGCGACCGCTCAAAGAGAACAAGCCTTGAAGCTCGGCAAAGCTGCACAACGTGCTACTGCACTGCGTGCATTCTCTTTGCTACTCGCTAAACTACTTGAAATTGACTCGTGTCCCGCCGCGTGTGGCAAAGCGGACACTGGCACACGCCTCCGTCACGTATGACCAAGCGAGGCTATGTGTTCATTAACATGAAATAAAGCATGCAATTACAGCATCAGCACTAGGCTTGGCGGTGCAGCAATTATCCGTGGCACATCAATCAGACCAGCGTACAAAGCCCAATCAAGTAGCAATTGCAATAAGCATGCTGAAGTTGTGCCTCTGTGCACTCTCTAGCAGTCCGGCCATCATCTGTAATCAAGCTGATCCATCGATGAGCACTCGGGCGTTTTTGGTAGCCACTCAGCAAAGCTTGGTAGTGGCCTGAGTGAACCGAAAGTCCAGCATGAACCACCACACTCAGCACCGAAAAGGATCGCCACTGCACTGCCAAGCCAGCGGCGGAACTGAAGACAGGTAGCCGAACTTCCGTACCCACCTGATAATCAAAGAAGTGCATATTTTTATGTATGGTGCCATCCTTCTGAGTGTATCGCTTGATCTGTAGATAAAGAATAGCCGGCGCCTTCGAAAATGCATGAAGATAATGTTGCTGGTGCCATGCTGTAATACTGGCCTGCAAACCATCTGGATGAATTTCAAGTGCAAGCGGCTGCAGACAATGACCTTGGTCCCCAATAAAACCAAGCCTCCCAACACTGAATCGACTCTGCCAGTGTCCCTGATAAGCCAGGGGCATCGCACGTCCCAGCACAAAAGCCAAAAATTCAGCAGCATCCTGCTGCCTGTCCAAGGCCGGTTGCCAGGCCTGAAGCAATGACCTCCAGGCATCATGCCGTAACAAGTTGGCATTCTCCTGTCGAATCAATGATAGACACTGAGGCTTGAGCTCACCAAACGGCATTGTCGAATCAAAGCCTGGACAAGCCATCTGTACCATGCCCATCCACAAGAAAGTGAGGAGAGTGGAATTGGCATAGCAAAGTTGATGTGGATTATAGAGAGCAAGTCACAGGACTGGCCTGGCTGCCAGATTGGCGAGACGACTCATTGGCCCCGAAAGGCGGCAGCCGCCGTTTCCAGAGTCTGATCTGGGGTCTCCTGGGTCTCCTGTTGTCTGCCCCGGCCTCGCCTCTTCCCTTTTCGCCACTGCTGCTGGGCCTTGGCCAAAAACGTGACCCTTTGCTCCTCCGTCCTGGTGGGTGGCGCTGGGAACCTCTCCTGGAGGACCTTCACGAGGGGCTGGCGCTCCATCCGAACCGGCTTTAGCCTCATCTTGACCAACTGGGTGCTGGCATTGTAGCTGAGCTGCTGCAAGGCCCGGTAACAGATGAGAGCTTGAGGATCCCTCATCCCTATTCTCAGGAAGAACGTCACAGCCGTCTTGTGCTGCTCCACCAGCTTTCGAGAGCTGTGGAACCGTATTAGCACTCCCGGTGCCTCGATGCTGGTCTTCAGAACCGTGAAGAGGCTTCGAAGCTCCGTATCCGACAGCGGCGGCTGATCCGACGGCTCCAACTCCCCTTGTCGTAGTTCCACCGAAGGTAGTTCCACACCGGATTTCCGTCCAACCGACGGATGTAGCCCAGTTGGGCAAGCCTGTCCACGGTGTCTGCCGAGGCTGTTGCCTCCTGCGCCTTGAGCTCGTAGTACATGAGGAGGCCGATGAACAAAGTAAGTCGCAAGGAGTTGTTGACCTTTCCTTGCTCTTGGAGCTTCTTCCACTCGACCGTCATTTTGTACAACTGCTCCAGCAGACCCTCCTGTTCCGGGGTGGCATTGGGTGGGGCAACCTCCAACGTGAGGATGAAGTCCGTCTCCGTACGTTTCTGGCTCAGCTCGTCCTCGTGTCTCATAGAGATCCTTGCCAACAAACGAACGTTCTCCTTCAGGGACTCCACCTCCCTCTGCAGCTCCTTGTTCGTGAGCTCCTTGTTGTTCGTGCTCCAGCTGGTCCAGGAGTCCCATTCTTCCTGTGTCCATTGTCGAGCTCGGCTACGATTCGGACGGCCCTCTTCCTTCCCTTTCGGGGGAGTGCTGGGAGCGGCAGGAGCCGCCGATGTGGGGGCATTGGTCGGAGCCGGTGCCTCTGCTGTGCAGGCCTTGTCTGTCAAGGGATTCTGACCTTTGCCCGCCGGTCTCGGGAACTTCTCCGGTGTCTCCTTCGCCTCCTCCTGCCTGTCCCTCCGACCCAGCAGGGAAGCTGGTTCCATCTCCTGATCGGCCGCGGTCGTCGTTGACGGAGCCAGGTGAGGGAACATAGACCGAACTTCGGACAAAGCAGCTTCGCCAGAGCCTTCCATCTTGAGGGCTGGACCGGGCTTCAAGTAAGAGGTTCGAATACGCGATGCACAGCACTGCCATCCATGTGGCCAGTCGCCCAGGCCCTGGTCGGTCAGGCGAGGTGGACGGGCTCCCGCTCCGACTGCTTCCCAAGAGCGGCACTCGTGCCAACCTTCCGCCTGG